GTCTCTGAGAATCGGACACAACTGAATGAATTAAAAAAAAAAAAAAAGTAAGAATGGTATCATAAGTTTCTAACCTCATTCTAACTGTTAACACAGTGGTTAAAATATCCAAAACATCAATCCCCCTACATATTAGTGGGTTTTATCCTTTCTTTGGCATCAAATCTCTAAATTAACATGTCCACTGTATGTTAACTGTCCTGTTACATAATTCTCTCTCACATCCTTTGTTGGTATAGGGCCAGAATATGGTTTCTCTTTCTTTAAGCTGCTCTCTTTAGCTCTGAAGGTCTCTTCCCTACTGATCTTTAAAAAACTTCCTTGATTTGAAATGCTAGGATGGAAGAAGATGGCTCTCACTGTGGAAATAAACTTAAAGACACAGCATATTCAGATCCATTTTTAAAAACATAGCTGAAAAACATGTTATCAATTTGTTGTTAATAAGGCAAGGATAGGTTAGTTAAACTAGAATAAATATCATATGTTTAAATGCCTAGGGTATTCTAAAAACCTAATATGCTTATTCTCCCAAATCATCTCACTAACTGTATCTTATTGCATATATTAGGAAAAAATGCTTAATATTACGTCCAAATTTGGGCCCTGAATTATCTTTCCTTTAAACAATCTAGAACTTGAAATTGACTTACAGAAGAACAATAAATGAGGGTTTAGTTCCCACATAAAACATTAAGCCCATCTACCCTGCTATTTTAACTGTTCCAGATTGAAGTTGGATTCTAATACAAGGGATCAGAGAACACGTTATTCATGGAAAATTCAAAACTGTTTTATGCAAATCAATAGCCAGTGTCTAATCTTACAGAGAAGCACATTACATGTGTACAGAGCAGAACTCTTAAACTAAACTAAGTTTGCATTATATCAGATCATAGGTATAATGAATGTTGAAATTGTCTGATAATTCAGTGATTTAAAAGAAGTTATCCATTATTAAAAATATAATCTCCTTTACATTTCACAATCTTTAAAACTCTTATGAGACATTTAGATGAATTATATAAGACTTAGTAAAAACTACATGCAAATGAAATAAATGGAGAAACTATTAAAGAAAAAACAATAGCCCATTTAGTAAGGTGTGGAGTATCTTAGGAAGTAGTAGTCATTATTAAATTTAGAATCCAACTAGAATGAGTTAATCTAACACTGAGGGCTTTTACGCAATGTATTCCTTTTAAAGTCTATCTTAAATCTATTAGTTTATTAGATTATGAATCTGAAATGCATTGCAAATTGGACTTTATGGACATTGATTAGAAGTATAAAACTGTTGATGCATGAACTATATAAATGTGTTTGGATATGATTGCTTGTATTGTAATTTGAAAAAGGAGTTTTTTAAAAGTTTTGGAAATACTACAGTTATAACAATATAACTGTTAATTCTAAATGGATCCAAGAATCCCTTTCTTTTGCTGAAAAAAGACCTGTTTTAGCCTTTCAGATGCCATGACTACATATTAATACATTTATGTGCATACATATATTCTATATGTGTAATTAATTGCTCTCTGTTGTTTTACAAGCTTAAAATAATGCCTTGTCTACATTAAATTAGGAGATAACAAACATGTCAAGAATAAAAAAAGCACAGTATTTTAAAAATCGCGCAATTCTGCCTTGAGAGGTAATAAATTAAATTGAAATACTTTAAGCTAAAGAGTATACTCAATATGAATAGGGGATCTATTATTCATATCAGGATCACACCTGTGAAATTTAACATATGAATTGACAAGGTTAGAACACAGCAAACCTATAACAATCATGCAACACTGCTCACCACACTATCCCTACGACCTCGTTCAGCATGGCCAGAGGATGCAATGCTGCCTGATTCATCATCTGTCAACTATAAGAGTTGGAAATAAGTAATTAACTAGTTTATTATTAGATACATATTTGTCTGAATCAATATTAAGATCTTTCTATAATGTTAAGGACTCATCTGGATACTAAATATATAACCCAATGCATTGTTGTGAAGAAATACCTTTGTGATACTGGATTCTGGTCAGTGAGAGATAGACTTCACAGAGTCAAGGTAACCTGCAAGTTTTCACTTTAGTCTCTTAAAACAGTGTTTCAAACTAGTATTTATGCAAAATAAATGCACTAATTTGAAGACATAATTGGCTTAATTAAACGATTGCTGTCTACCTAGTTCCATCTTGGATTTTGTTTCTTAGTAACATTCAAGCTGTTTTTTCCAATTTGGCAACTCTATGTGAGATTGCAAATCATCAACATTCAACTAGGTATATTTCAAGTCTGGCTGAAAGAACCAGCTTGACAGGATACAAAAAGTCTTAGCTCTTCCATTCCTGATAATTAAATACAGGTAGTCCTCGCTTAATGACTGTTCATTTAGCAACCATTCGAAGTTATGACAGTGCTAAGAAGTGACTTACAACTGTCATATGAACATGATCTGGGTGCTTGGCAATCAGATCACACTTACAACAGTCCCGGATTCACACGATTGACATTTGTGACCTTCCCAGCTGGCTTCCAGCAAGCAAAATCAATGGGGAACCACTGTTGTGTGACTTAACACTTAACACCACTTAACAACTGCAGTGATTCACCACAAAAAAGGTAATAAAATTGGTCCAGTCGTGTGATGATTCGATTAACAACCGCATCACTTAGCAACCTAAATTCCAGTCCCAATTGTAGGACTACCTGTAGTGTAGAGCCTGCATCCAGCCAAAGGAAAATAAAGAAAATAGGTCTCTATTATGCTCTATGGAGAGGTGGACAACTTTGGATCCCTGAATCCATTCTTGCAGACTCCATATCCTAAACTAATCCATGTATATGATAGCCTTGCCAACTTGGCAGCATCACACTTATTCAAAATAGCCTTCCTCTCTCTGAAACAAGGAAATGTAGTCCTTGATCATCAAAGTTTCCCCAGCCCTACTCTATGTAGAGCTAATTCGAACAGTCACTCATGCCCTTGTTATCTCCCAGATAGACTACTGCAATGTGCTCTACATGGGGCTACCCTTGAAGAGTATCCGGAAGCTTCAGCTGGTCCAAAATGCAGCCATGCAAGCTATTTTTGAGGTCTGAAGAAGGACCCATATAACACCTTTGTTCCGTGAGCTGCATTGGGTACCAGTTTGCTTCCGGGTCCAATTCAAGGTGTTGGTTATCACCTTTAAAGC